AGTAAAAAGTTTAGCAGTTTTGGCAGCAACCGAATAAATTTACTAAGCAATCTAAGTGAAATGGTTAATTTAAGTGAAATTACGAGTAAATTTATCATCAAGTTAAATATGGAAAATCTTAAACTTACCTCGTTGCGTAGAGTATGAACCTCATTCTGCAATGATACTACCATCTCACGTAGAGCGGCAACCTCACCACGTAAAGTAGACACCTCCACACGCCATGCACCATCGTTATCAAGTAGAGTACCGATCTCCTCACGCAAGGCATTGACCTCATCACGTAACTCCCTTGACTCATCCCGTGGAGGTGGAGAATAGGGAGATAGAAGTTGTGGCATCTTTTCCGGTCGCCTATCATGAGGTGATAGTGGAGAAGAGGCTCGATGATGTGACGGGATAGGTGATGGCTCTCGTTGTAGAGGTGTATAGTCGGGTCGATCAGGTGATGGCTCTCGAAGTGGAGGAAGTGGAGGCTGCTCATCATTCGTGCCATCAAGAAAACGCTGACTAGCTTGCCACTAATCAGTGGCAAGCTCAGCCTCTGTGGGTGTCAGTCTCATTAATGGAATGTTGGCCTCCTAAAAATATAAAAACTCAAACAAAGTTAAACGTCTAATATTAATAACTTGTTTATATATGATAGTATTTGTGTTAACTTACATTATTTATTGTCGCATATGGTATTAAGTCTTCCCAATCCAACAGACGTTTCCTCTTCCAGAAAATAGCCCTGGGAATATCATTTGAAGTTTTTATTGCATATGTCTTCATGGCGGGAAAGGCCTCGAATATCCAAATCTACAAACAATATAATAACAAACATTAGTAATTGTTAAATAATTAATTATAATTTTGAAAACATTATATAGAAATTCTTACCTTAAAGGCCCAAACAAAGCCTGACAAAGTGTATTTCGACCCATCGCCTTGCAAACTTTTGCGGTCATCAAAGGCAGACGACAACTTAGTCCAGGTAGCTTTCCATATATACGAACCCCACGGAAACAGATTCCATGCATTTAGGTCCTCTACCAATAATATTAGCTCCTGAGGAATAGGTTGTCTGGCCTCTCTACCTAAAAAGCCGGCATACAAAAGTAGTAGAAGGCATACTCGGACAACATCAACGTCATTCATCCGAGTAAAACCATCTTTCTTATTAAACAATTTCTTCATGTCGTCGACGTGTAAGTTCGTCTTCTCTATTGACTCATCAGGAAAAACCCTGGATAACCATGATGGGCTGGTGATATAACGAGTGTACCGGCCTACATCATCGTGTCCGAATCGTAGACCAGTGATTAAGCAAAACTCATTCCGCCCAAAACAAGTATACGCCGGTGGAAAATGAAACCATATCTCTTCCTCACCACGTTGTATGCTGTCGGGTAGATCGCTAGTCATGGTCTGAAGCCACAAATGGGTCAAACTAGCATCTCCACCCGGATGCTGTACTCTCAGCCATGGCCCGAAGCAGGTTTCTTCAAACAATTTTCTTTGTTCAGGTGAAAGCTTCGAAGCAATTGTAGTGGCTAGGCTAACTTTATTCCTTAATGTCAATGAAGCCGAAAAAAATTTCTACAAAAAAACAATAAACATACCAAGTTAGATATACCAAAAATTACACTGTCAAGATATACCAAAAACAAAACAATAAACATAAATAGTAGTTTATTCTTGAAACTAAAATTTGCAACACTGTTTTTGTCTTTTGGTTGAAATGAAAATCGCAACGAGATAATGAGAATCGCAACGCGGAAATGACTATCGCAACGAGAGAATAGCAACGCGAAATGACTATCGCGACCAGACAATCGCAACGCGAAATGAAAATCGCAACCGCGAAATAAAAATCGCAACGCGAAATAAAAAACGCAACGCGAAACAAAAATCGCAATGCGATTTTTGTTTCGCGTTGCGTTTTTTATTTCGCGTTGCGATAGTTATTTCCGCGTTGCGATTTTCATTCTCGAAACTATTCTTCTTCTGCATTACTTCAACCAAAAGACAAAGCAAAGACAAATACTAACTTCACAGGCTAAACAGTTTAGCAGTATTGGCAGCAATCGAATGAATTTAATAAGAAATCTAAGTGAAATGGTTAATCTATTATTGAAATTACCAGTAAACTTATCATCAATCTCAATATGAAAAACCTAAAATAATGCAAAAATTTCAAAATAAAAATAAAAAAACTAACCCTCGGAGGTTGATTTTCCATTTCTGAATGATTGTGAGGGATTTTTGACTGTGAATGGTTGTGAGGGATTTCGCCGGCGATGGGGACGGAAATCTTCGGAGATGGGGACGGATTTCGCCGTAGAGAGTGAGAGATGGAGATGGGACTGAGTGTTGTGTTTTTGGGTTTGAGGTTATGAGTTGCGATTACTGTGGACGGTTCAGTTTCCGATTTATTAAGAAAAAATTCGTGTTTGGAATTTGAAAAAAAATACGCGTTAATACGAATGGCGCTATGTAAATCGCGTTGCGAAAGTCAGAATCGCGTTGCGAAAGTCAGTATCTTGTTGCGATTTTGTATTATCGCATTGCGATAGTAAGTATCGTATTGCGATAGTCAGTATCGCATTGCGATTTTCCCAATTCGCGTTGCGATTTACTTATTCGCATTGCGAATTGGGAAAATCGCAACGACATTGTATACCATCGCAACGCGATTTCCAACTATCGCAACGCGAAATGCAACGCGAATTTGCGATAATGGAGATCGCGTTGCGAATTAGCGATCGCATTGCGATTTTGTTGGTCATTTTGGCAAATCCGGAAAAAGTTGGTTAAAATCGTATATTATATGAGATTTTTGGTCACTGAGGTTATTTTCTCTGAAGATATTCTCTTTGAAAACGACATTGCTCCTTCATGTTGAGGAGATCTAATCGCTTCTGTGTGATTTGCTCGATATCAAATCTGATGATGACATTACTCCTTCGCGGTTAGGAGATCTAGTCATGGTTGACGATGTTTGATTCGCTATGTTCGAAGATTTTGTTCACAAGGTCAAATGCTATGATTTTTTATGTGTCATATGCAATATGTCCTAAGGATGATCTAATATAATTTGATATGATGTGTATGAACGTTTATTGTAGGTTTGGGAAATTCAATCTTGGAAAAATGTGATCTCATCAACTTTTGGTGAACCATTCTCGACTGAGACAGGCAAGATTTTTCCTTTCATCACTAACTGGGTTACAATTGTGGCTACCTTTTTAACCCTTTTGTGCCAAATATTGCCCTTAATTTGTCCTCTCTGATATAGTTAGTGAAACGATCCATATTGCTTAGTTGACTTTCGACAAAAAGCTAATGTTTTCTCAAAATAATTTGATTTGAATGAAATCTTATCCAGTGCATCCCTGATTAGGATTTCTTTTGATTTCTTTGCCTGAGAAGACAAAGTCAGGTTGAGATTGTTTCCCTTTTTGATTGATTTTTTTTATTTAAGTAACCTTTCTTTTCTAACACTCTGATCAATCATGTTGAGCTATAGAGATGTTTCTTTCGTCTGTGCTTCCTAGTGTACACCTGTTTTGAAATTCCCATACTCTAAACTTTTCTTAGAGGAAGGCATAATAAATTTTTATATATGATACCATTAATGAACAATGGAGAAGGTACAATCCTTTTGAACGAGTGTTTCTTTTAAGGAACAAGGCAAACATTACAGAAAGAATAAATACCAGTACCCCTGATAACAAGTGTAGGAGTCCTTGTATCTTTTTACCACAAGTCTCTTCTAAAAGTTAACATGTGTCTAGAGTATTCAAATCGTACTAAGGATTTATGAGACGAGAATCTCTCCCTTAATTGTCAGTATTCTGAGGGAATCCACCATTCACAAGCTTAATCCTGAATAATCGAGCCGTCATTTGTGAATTTTCAATTAGAATCCTCATTGGGTTTCAAGACGCCCATTTTGGGCTTTCATCTTGAACCCTCTTTTCCTTTTCTTTTTTAATTTCTTTTTTCTTCTCTTTTTTTTTCTTTTTTTTCTTTTCTTTTTTCCTTTAAGTGTAGCATCGTTTGACTGAATCAAAATTCGTAGGGTTAGGCAGCTCATCTTCATCCATTTCAGTCAAAATCAAAACTCCTCTTGAAAATGTCTTTTTAACAACATAAGAGCATTCCCAGTTGAGCATTCCCAGTTCGACATTCACTTCCCTCGGAAATGTTTTTGCATAGGTAAGATCTTTTTTAGCACCAGATCACCTTCATGAAATTCTTGGGGTCTGACCTTCTTATTGTGAGCTTGTATTATTCTTTTCTAGTACATATGTCCATGGCAGATAGCTCTTAATTTCTTTTCCTCAATCAAAATCAACTAATCAAATCTGTTCTGAACCCAATCGGCCTCTTCTAGTTTTAGCTCCATCATTACACTCAGATAAGGGATTTCTACTTCAACGAGTAAAACTGCTTCCATCCCATAGACAAGTGAGAATGGTGTTGCCCCATTTGATGTACAAACATACGTGCGATAAGAAAGAAGAGGAAAAGGTAATTTTTCGTGCCAATTTATATATGTTTCGGTCGTTTTGGTGACGATATTTTTGATATTTTTATTTGTCGCTTCCACTTCGTCATTCATCTTTGGGATATAAGGAGCTGAATTATGATATTTGATATTGAACTTTGTGCAAACTTCCTTTATCAAGTCATTGTTCAGGTTCAAGGCATTATATGTGATGATTCTCTTTGGTGTTACATATCTACATATAATTTATTTCTTTAGGAATCTGCAAACTACTCCTTTTGTAATATTGGCATATGATGCAGCTTCGACCTATTTGGTGAAATAGTTAATAGCCACCAAGATGAAGCAGTGTCCATTTGAATCCTTTGGTGAGATTGACCCAATGACATCGATGCCCCACATTGAAAATGGCTAGGGTAAGGTCATTACATGGAATGGTGAGGGAAAAGCTGATGATACAATCCCCTTCCATCGTTGACCAGTAATAGCCAAACCTCATGATTTGTTAGGCTATTGTGAAGTCATTTGCGTACGTTCCATAAATCCCATAATGAACCTCCTCCAGTGTTTTCTTAGTCTCGATTTTGTCCACATATCTCAAAAGTACTTGATCTCTTCCTTTTTTGTGTAGGATATCCCTATCGAGAACATACCCTATATCCAATCTTCTCAGAGTTTGCTTGTCATTTTCAATAGTTTCTGTAGAGTAAGTTTGATACTTTACATACTGAAGAATGTTGTAATACCATGAGAGATCATCATTCTCCTCTTCCTCGATATTACAACAATGAGTCATAATCATTCGGATGGGCATCATTCGAGCTTGATCATTTACTTTGAGCATTGAAGCCAACGTGGCTAAAGCATCTACCATATGATTTTCTTCTCGTGGGAGATAAGTAAAAGTAATCTCTTCAAACCCCTTTATCAGATTTGTTATCAGATCCTTGTACTCTATCAGCTTGGAATCCCTCGTCATCCACTATCCACGAAGTTGGTAGATGACTAAAGCAGAATCGCCAAATACTTCTAGGATTTTGATCTTACGCTTAATCCTAGCTCGGATTCCCATTATACATGCTTCATACTCGTCCATGTTTTTTGTACGTTCAAAATCGAGTCAACTAGTGAAAGAATAATGATTTCCTTTAGGTGAAACCAGTATCGCCCCAACTCCATACCCCACGACATTTGAAGTGCCGTCAAAATTCATCTTCCATACTTTCTCTTTCGGGGCTTCCTCTTCTTCTACTGTTGATATGACCCTTAAGTCGTCATCTGGAAATTCAAATTTCACTGGTTCATAGTCTTCCAATGATCTCTTTGCTAAGAAGTCTGCAATGGCACTACCCTTTACTGCTTTTTGGCATACGTACACTATATCGAACTCTGATAGCAACATTTTCCATCTTGCCATTCTTTTAGTCAAAATTGATGACTTCATTATGTATTTTAAAGGGTCTAACTTTGATATTAACCACGTAGTTTGGTATAACAATTATTGCCACAATCCCTTTGTAGTCTAAACTAAGGCACGACACAACTTCTCGATATAAGAATATCGAGTTTCACAATCAGTGAATTTTTTGCTCATGTAATAAATGGCTCATTCTTTTCTTCATGTTTCACCATGCTATGCTAGGACACATCCCATTGAATTTTCAAAAATGGTCAAGTACAAGATTAATGGTCTGTTTGGAATTGGTGGCACCAGAATCGAGCATTTGACAGGTAGTGTTTGACCTTATCAAAACCTTCTTGGCAACTATCATCCTATTCTCCAGTTTTTTAACAAGCGGAATATTGGATTGCATTTCTCAGTTAATTGAGATATGAACCTAGTAATATAATTTAAACTCCCAAAAATCCTCGCACTTCCTTTTGTGTTTTAGGAGGTGATAATCTCAAGATTGCTTTGACTTTATCGGGATCTATTTTGATCCCTTTCTCACTGACTACAAAACCCTACAGTTTCCCTAAAGTGGTTCCAAATGCGCATTTAGCTGGGTTAAGTTTCAGCTGGTACTTTCTCAATCTCAAGAATAGCTTCCTCAAGATCCGAACATGTTCTTCTTCAGTTTATGATTTGGCAATCATATCATTCACGTACACTTCTATCTCTTTATGCATCATATCATGGAAAATGGAAAGCATGACTCGTTGATACGTTGCCCCTGCATTCTTTAGTCCGAAGCGCATCACTTTATAACAAAATGTGCCCCACATGGTCACAAACATCATTTTTTGAGGAAGTGGGAAGTTGTCTTTATGACTTGCACGATTGAGATCTGGATAATCAACACACATTTGGACCTTCCCATCTTTCTTTGGAACTGACACGTATTTGTTACTCGTTCAGGGTATTTGGATACTTGTAGAAAACCAGGGTAAAATTATTTCTTCACCCCTTTCTTTATTTTTAATAACATGTATGGTCTTATTCTTCAAAGTTTTTGTGTATTGGGCTTGCATTATGGCTTTATTGGCAGTTTATGCACCACAATATCAGTACCTAACCCTGACATGTCTTGATATGACCAAACAAATACATCTTAAAACTCATACAGAAGTTCTATGAGATCCTGTCTTATTTCAATCGAGAACGAAGTGCAAATATTGACCTCCTTTTTATCATCATCTGTCCCCAAATTCACTTCTCGATTTTTTCTTGATAGCAAAATTTTGCTTATTTTCTTGTTCAATCAATCTAACAAGTTCAGGATTCAACTTGTATTCCACATCATCCCTATAACCCTCAGATTCCTTTAAACACATGTCATTTTCAAAATCAACCTTTGGTTCATAAACATTATTACTCGAACAATTGATATTTGGAGACTTGCAAAGGGGAAATTAATATATTCGGGCTAGAGACAAGGATTTTTATATTTATTGAAAGAATGACTATAATAAAATAACAAAGAATGAAATAAAATGTTTTACATGGAATGAATAAAGAAAAAAACATCATTTCATTAAAATAAAGATTAATAACAGTTTGCCCTTACAAAAGATCCATATTACTTTCACGCAAAAGTAACAAGGTTGTTATCATGCATTACTCTGTATTTTTTTAAAAAAAATACAGGAAGCTCTCCAATAGTGTAGTTGTTCAGAGAGTATCTAAGAGGGCATTAATGAATTGATGCCAAAGATCATTCTCCAATAGAATCCTCTGTATGACCATAGGTCCCCAGACAATGTCCTCTCCTTGTGCTCTAGCCTTTCTTCTTTCTCTGAGCTTTTGTGCATCCCTGACCCTATATTGGTAGTGGGCCTATACCCAATCCCGAAGTAATTCCTTTTGGGTGTCGAGGCTAAACCTTCAGTGATTCCTTGAAATCTTCTACCAAAACCTTTCCCAGCTTTGGCTCCTCGAGCTATAGTCTCTTTTAGCATCTTTGTACTCTTGGAGAGTCTGGGAGAGAGCATCCTCTTTCCTTTTGGGATGAAGGTAGCATTAAGAAACTTTAGTGACTGAAAAGATGAATCAAGTGCATTTTCATTCACTTTTACATATGGTGTGCCAGTTAAGGCTGTAAAATCAGGTAATCAGACATGTTTCAGTCGGATCTTGGCAGGTTGGGTAAAATCGGGTACAGACAAGTCAGGTCAATTTGATGGTTTGACTCAGATCAGGTCGGGTACAGGTCAAATCAGTCTGGGTCATTTTCAGGTTGATTTAACACCAGATCCATATTGGGTTCAGGTCAGGTCATTTTCAGTTTGGATCGATGCCAGTTTAGGTCAAAACAGTTCAGGTTCGAAGCAGATAAAGACCAGGTTAATTCAAGTTCCGATGGACTTCAGTCAGATCTCGTTCAGATCGGATCACATCATTGACATATAAAATTCAGGTCTGATGTTTACCGAATACGGATTGAGTTCAGGTCATTTTTATTTTTAGATTAATTATTTTTTTATCTTTCGTGATTGTTGAATTGCAAGTTGTAATTGTATATGATTTCGAGTAAATTACAAAAAAAATATTCATGGATCAATTCTGTAAAAAAAAATAAATTTAAGGACAAAATTGAAGAAATGTAAAATTACAAATAAAATTTTAAAATATAAATTAAACAACACACATAGGTAAGGGACTAAGTCGAAATAAATTTAAAATGTGAGGTTTAAATTTATATAAAAAGGACTAAATTATACCCATTTAAAAAGTTATGGGCCAGTTACAAAAATATAAATAACAACTAACAATGGGCCAAATGAAGATGCAAATATAAATTTAAAGACTAAATTGAATATATATAAAAGTAAAAGATTTAAAATTGAAATAAATTAAAAAACACAAAAGGATGAAATCGAAATAAATGCAAAATGTGAAGAAATAATGAAAAATATAGTAAATTGCATTTATTTAAAAATTTGAAATAATTATAATATATATATAATATAAGTTTATATATAAACTATATATATAAACTATATTTATATTATAAACTATATATGTATAAGCTATAAAAATTATATAGTTTATAAACTATAATTTATATTAATATATATATATATATATATATATATATATGCATAAACTATATAAAATAATCAATTATATTATAATAATATAAGATATTATATTTTTATTTTAATAATATATAATAAATTATTAATAAAATTTATATTATTTATTAATTTCATAGAAATAATATTACTAAATTATTAATAATGAATAATATTATTTATATATTTAATATTAATATAATAATCTAATAATATTATAATAAATATATTTAAAATATACTAATTAATATTTTTAAAATATAATATAACACTATAACTTTAATAAATAATTAATATAATTTATAATATTTTTATTTAAATAAAATATACCAATATTAATATTTTTATTAATAAAATTATAAACATAATATTAATAATAAATAAATTATTTTAATATTTTAAAATAATAATATTAATTTTTATGATAAATAATATTATTTATTGTATTTAATATTTGTAATAAATAATTTTAAAAAAACTCATCAACTAGTGGAAAAAAGGTTTAAACAACATCTTCCAAACATCGTAAAACGTTTTCCAGATGTTTTTCAGAAAAATGTAATTCATTTTACGAAAAACTTTTTCCGGAAAACATTTTCCAGAAATGTAATTCAATTTCTGGAATTCAAATTCCAGAATTCAATTTCCAGAAAACCAATTACAGCCAAACAAACAGACCCTATATATATATAACCTATATATATATATATATATATATATATATAAACTATATAAAGTAAATTATTTGTATAGTTTATAAAAAAACTATGCATAAACTATATAAAGTAATAAATTATATAGTTTATATAATCCCTAAACCCTAAACAACTATATATGTATAGACACATTTGATAATTCATATATAGTTTATATAAACAATAGTTTATATAAATTATATATGCAACATTAATCTATAGTATATAAACAATAGTTAATATATGTAACATATAGTATATGTATACATGTAAACTATATATGTAACTTATAATACATGTATGTATAAACTATGTATAGTATATATAAATTGTATATATAACATATAGTATATGTATATATACAATCTATTTATATGTTATATAAACTATATATGTAACATATAGTTTATAAACAATAGTTTATATTAATGTACTATATAGTTTATACTTTATAACCTATAGTATATAATTTATAAACTATAGTTTATATTAATGTACTATATAGTTTATATTAATGATAATTATCTTAACTGTAATTTATATTAATATAGTATATAGTTTATAAACTATATACTATATTAATATAAATTATATTAATTATAATTTATAAACTATACTATATAATTTATAAAATATAGTTTATATTAATATTAATTACAAATTATAAACTATATTATATTAATATAAGTTAATATTAATATTAATTATATTAATATTAATTATAATATATAATTTATATATATTTTATATTAAGGCGGGAACTAATCTT